ATATCTCTATATATATATATAAAGTTTAAGTGTTAACATTTGAAAACCATTGAATTCTGTTAATTTACATTTTACATCCCAACTTTTTAGATCCAGGATTGTACTAATGATTTTTACAGTAGTATAATGAACATTTTAAACTTAAGTTCAAGTATAAGATTTATTGTCAAAGTTCTATTTACCATATCATAAACTGAAGTCTTGCTTGTACAAGCCTATGCTAACAGAGCCTATGAATCTGAAATATAACAGATCATACATTGGCTTAGCCTCTTAGCATCTATCTTATCTGTGATGTGAGGTGAGGCGCTGTTTAAATTGAGCCGGCAGTGAAGGTGACGTGAGGTGAGTTGGATGCTGCTGGTACTGCCTGGGGGCTTGAGGAAATGAACTGGGATGTCGAATGAAGGAATATTCTGGGCACAAGTCACAGTTGAGCTTTACTCCAGGGTTTATCTGCACTTAGAGGGCATCAGATTTTTGATGCAAGCCTCTTCCTACATTGTGCACATTTCCTTTTTCTCTACTCTTCACTGTTCTGGCCTCTGAGAGTCTCATGCAAAAAAGGAAAAAAAAAAAGTCAATAAAATTAAACTCAGTAAAAAAATAAGCAAAACAAAATACAAACAGTAATGAATGCAGTGACATCAACACTGACATTACATAACGTAAAATAATATTAATATGATTATGTTTTAAACATTAGCATTCATTAACATTAAGTCAGTACTCTCAAGGGTTAAAAAAAGTTTATTAGGTGTAAATTAGTATTAGACTTGGGATTTAAGTTTATGCCCCAATACCCCACTCTCTCTCTTTCGCTCTCTCTTTCACTCCCTAAAAGGACGCTACCTTCTTGGACTCTGGGTTTCTTGAACAAGCTGGTGGAGTGACGCAGTTTGCATGCCCAGTTTTTGAATTTTCGAGTCCAGGATTTCTTGCTAACCGGATTTCTGATACTAGGACATGTCAGGTTTAGGCCAAAATATCCACCTCCTGCATTGTGCTGCTGCTGTCCTTGATGAAGGGGGATCAGTTGCTGATTGGGGGGCCATGATGCATCTCCAAGGGCACTTGTGTCAGAGTGTGGTGGTACAGCCTAGGACAGTTAAAACAATTAGGAGTGGCTGAATGGATGTGAGACATAAAACGAGAGATCTTCAACATTTCAATATTACAACTAATCAAAAACAGTTAAAGAGAACAGAGTGGAGTCACACTTACAGACAGTAAAATGAATCCAGTTTAGAATAGTAAAAACAGGACAAAACTTACTTAATTGTATCCTTGGTTTTACTTACAAATATAGCTGGTTCTCCTGGTACAAGTGAGCACTGGGGGCCAGCAGATGTGTCGAGACTGGGAGGGAAGAGAGACGATTGCAGAGTGTTTGAGGCACAAGTGGAGGGGAGAGATGGTCCAGGTTGCTGCTCCACTGGGCTCAGCTGCATAAGGTTGGGCACGTCTATAGATGCTTTACCCTCTTCTTCCCTCTCTGGGTCAGGTGAGGTGGAAGAGGAACGGGGCGTGGTGGAGGAGGTAGTAGAAGACGAGGAATGGGGGGAGGTGTCGGAAGAAGAAGCGAGTGGGTGAAAAAGTATGGGTTGGAGTGATTGTAGTTCAGATGACTCATCACCCCCAACTGATGTGGAGGTAGCTGATACAGCTGCAGAGGCAGCTCCAGCATGTGCAGTCCCACCGCTGTACTCCTGATACAACAAGTTCCTCAACTTCTCATCTAAAGTCTTCATACGGTTGTCTACAAAGCCCATTTTCGGGGGTCCTTCGCTGTCTGACTCAGCTACAGAGGATGGCTGTGCAGGGGATGGTGTCTTAGTGAGGGAGAGATTAGGTAAGTGGGTTTCAGCAGAAGCAAAATGGAGAAGTGGCAGAGAAGAGTCAGATGAAGGGTGAAATGGGGCAGAATAACTGCTAGTGTCCTCTGTGACACTTGTCTCACCTGCAGACACCTCTGACTCTGACAGCTGCAAAGACGACTGCTTCTGCACTGAGAACTGCAGCGGTTTCTGTGGCGTGTCCACAGCTTTAACCATCTCGTCTTGTTGCTCAGGGTGTTGCAGCACTTTCTGTGACTGCACATGCTGTTGTGGTATTGCAGTAACATTAAGTTGTGCCTGCTGAGGAACTAATGGTTGACCAACCGATGACGACAACAATTGGTTTTGAGCTGCAGCACCCATTAACAGCTGCTGTTGCTGCAGCTGTATTATATGCTGTTGCTGTAAGTGTAATGTCTGCTGCAGATTTAATTGTTCCTGCTGTTGCTCCTGCTGCTGAGCCACAAAATCAGCTAGAGGTGCAACAACCTGTTGAGGTGACTGCTGAAACTGAGTCTGCTGCAGCAACTGTGGGGCAAACGGTGGTGTTTGCTGAGGCTGGGTCTGCTGTACAGGTAATAGTGGCAGAAATTGATGTACAGGCACAGACTGTTGTAACACTTCTGTATTACCTGACCCAGGTAGAATTTGCACTTCAGTCAGTTGCTGCTGAAGTGGCATTTGTTTTTCATTAAGTTGATGCTGCTGTAATTGTTGGAGAGACTGTTGGGGTTGTTCTTGCTGCAGGAACATTTGTTCTTGACTGCCTTGGTGTTGTGTTGATTGTTGTTGGGGTGTTATTTGCTGTATTTCTTTTTCAAAATGCATTGCTTGCAGTTGTTGTGTTGTTGGAGTCTTCTGTAGGTTTGAAGTGACTGGTGTGAATGTCTGCTGCTGATCCATGGCAAGTTGATTTACTGCAGAAGAAACCATGCCAAGCGGAAGAGGGGACTTAAAAGATGATGAAGACGGGGCAGCTGCTGCAGTGGAGCAAACAGTGTTGATAGAGGCGGTAAAGTTACCAGGAAATATGGAGGTGGGTGAGGGAGACACAAGAGGAGGAGCTGTGGACAATGTGGGGGCATCTGCAACAGGAGGTGTTGCATTAGTTGAAAGAGGATTGATAATCTGGTTAGTAGAAGAAGAGGTGGACACTGGCAAGTCATGACAACTTGAGGCAATGAGTGAGAGAGAGGCCAGTCCAGAGATGGTTTCAGAACCAGTGGCCACAGCCACGGAGACTGGGATAGCTGTGGGAGCCGGGGCTGAGGCAATAGAGACTGGAGATGAGGTAGAAGAAATCAATTCACCAAAAGACTCAAGACTTTGGGATCCATCATCTTCTACAACTGAAAAAAAAAGGTATTTTTTCACTCTATCACCTTATTTAATGTAATAAACCATAGCATTCAAAATGACCCATGTAGGGCTCACCTTTATCTCGTTGAGGAGATTGTGGAATCCTTGATTCTGCAGTGGGTGGTGGCGTGACTGTTCCCTGGTTGGACAGGGAGTCTCTATGACGAATGGTCTGGTTGATAAAGAAGCGCCAGCGTCCCACTGGAGACGACTGTGGAACTGAGTCTACTTAGAAACCATAAAGAGAGTTTAAAATGGAATCAATGTACAACTTTTGTTTCCAACCAGTCACTTTTTTTGTGAAAAAATTAAACATCCGTATATTCAAAACCTTACTTGAGCTTGTGTGAGTGCTCACAATTAACTGATCAGTTGATCCAGCCTGATGGAGAAATAAATATTAATTTTATGTTAAATATTGAGACAAAGCTAAACAACATCTAAAAGGCTACGTCAACATGCCTGTGTCTGAAGAATTTCACGGGCTTTTTTAACTATTGCTCTCAGCTCCTCAACAAATTTCTCCTTCTCTGTATCAAGAACAAAGTCCTCCTCCACCTATAAAGTGAAACCAAAAGGCAATGATAAAACTATGCAACAACATTTATGTACAAGTGCAGACACTTGCTATACATGACCTGTTTACCATGTAATCTGCAATATCTTCAGGTGCGTCCTCTTCAATATCAAACTTGAATGTCACCATCTTATTGCTGTGGGTTTCTAACTGGCATTCCACCATGTTGTCCCCTTTGTTGGAAACCTTTGAATACATTGAAGGTAAAATCTTACAAACCAGATTCCAAAAAAAGTTGGGACACTAAACAAATTGTGAATAAAAACTGAATGCAATGGTGTGGAGGTGCCAACATCTAATATTTTATTCAGAATAGAACACAAATCACAGATCAAAAGTTTAAACTGAGAGAATGTATCATCATGCAACTAGTCTTTTAAATCAAAATATACTACTTATTTATGTAAATATAAAGTGCATTGCTAAGTAAGATGGTAACAGATTTTTCTTTACCTGGAGCATGCTCAGTTGAAACGGATGTGGACCTTTCTCAGGCTTCAATAAAGAAGCTCTTTTTTGAGCCTTTGATTTTTCCATTTTCCCATTTGCTGAAAGCTGCAGGGAGTCTTCACCATTAGCTGGAAGAGATCTGAGGATGGAATGGGTTTTAAATATGGACTTGTGAAGAAACTTTAAGTCCAGGTGGACGATAGACAATGTGTATAATAAAGTAAAACAACATTTAATTCATAAAAAAGAAATCTGTAAATGCAAATTATTCATAGATATTTGACATACCCAGATGAAGACTCTGCACTTGTCTGCAATGGACCATCCTGAAGAGTGGCATTTAAATATATACACAAAGTAAATATGTAGAGAAAAAACACACACACACAAATAAATCAAACATCAGCAAAATAAGACGAAAAAAAGCATTATGAATAAAATAACACTGAATAACCAGTTCAGTCCTTTTAATGATGCTCCTGAACTGTAAGCATTTAAATATTTAGAGAAATTTCAATTGTTAAAAAATACCCTGAACATATTTATTGACACTTTTAATTAATTAGATAAGTTGAGATGAAATTAACATAGGGAAAACTCAAATGTACATTTTTGAGTTTCCACATTAAGAAAATGCAGAAATTAATCGTCACATTTCTAAAGGCAAGTGGCAAAAATGTTACCATCACTTTCACAGCACTCAGTAATTTTACCAATACATTTTACACTTATTAAAACCGTTTAGGTGCAACAAAACTGAGCACCCTAAAAATTGCTTCATCTTTTTACTGTACAAAGTCAGGTTTTATAAACAAAAGGCCAAGCAGCACAACTATTCTTAAAAAAAGGCAGAACTAATGTTTGCAACACTTTCAATATAGATAATCCAGTTTCCTCTTTGTGTTTAGGATAGTGTAAATGATTGATGAAGCCGACAAGAGCTATTTAGGTATGTAGTGTATTAGTTTGTAAGTACTAACAGAGGTAGAATGAAAATAAAGAAAATACAATCTAGCAAGAATACTGATGTTATAGTTCTATCATTTGCTGTCTCTGTTCCCGAGGGTGTTAAATTATTAAACAAATTAAGAAATAAGAAATAAGAAAAATTGTTTAGATGTCATTCTTGTCGATGTTTCAGCAAGTAGAAAAAAAAATGTGTCCAATGTGTTTGTTCGTAATTGCACTTCTTAAATTAAGTTTATGTTGTTTATAAACATCTATCCACCTTCCACTATTATACAGCATGTGGTTGGGTCAAGTGGGCATTATGTCACGGAGGAAAGCCCAGACATTCCCCTCCCCAGTAACACTCTGGCTCTTCCTGGGTGATCCCATGGCATTTCCAGGCCAGAGAGGAAATATAATCCTTCCAGCAAATTCTGAATCTACTCTGGAAACATGCCCAGAATCAGTGGAACATACTCAGAAAACCTCTGAAGAGAGGCATCCTAATCAGGTGCCCAAAGTTTTCATTCTTCACTGCCCTATATGATGGTGCACTTCACCCCATCTTTCAGGCTGAGGCTGAGCCTGGACACCCCATTTCAGCTGCTTGTATTTGAGTTCTCATTCTTTTGGTCATGATGTTTAGCAAAAATATGATAAAAATATAAATATGTTCCAATTAAAATGGTTTATATGCATCTATGAAGATATGAATAATTTAGTGCTTACAGTTTTAGAAGGCTGATCATTTTGACCTTCACTGCTTTTTATTTATTTAAGAACATCCACCACTTAAAAAAAAATAAAAAATTAGAACTCAGTTTGAATAAAAACGGTAAAGCCAAAGCCTTTTCATAAATTTAGAAATTAGTATTACTATATTCATGAAACCAGTACGTCAGAATAAAAATTAGCACTACAGAACTTTTTGTATTCCATGTACCTGATTGACGCCCTGTAGAGAAATGTCACAGTCTTGCAGCAAGGCTTGGGGAAGGTTGAGGACATTAGAGCCAAGCGGTTGTAGCGCAGTGACAAAAGGTGAAGGAGAGGAGGGAATAAATTCAGCCTGCCTCTTTAAGGCTACCTGGGCTACTGGTGGAGATGTAAGAAATTCTGTAGCAGGGGCTGGGGTAGGATGGTGGGATAGGAGAGATGGTGGTGGTGCTGAAGAACATGAGGTATGTGAAGAGCTGAGGGGCATTTGTTGTGCAGGGACTACAGTCTCTTTATGTGTCTGAGTTTGAGAATGAGCTTGTGAGTGAACTTGTGTTTGTGTTTGGGAATGCGTTTGAGCTTGATTGCTCGTTTGAGTATGTGTATGAGCTGGCAGCATCTGTTTGGCTTGATGCTGTGGAGATGGAGGACCATCTGCCATTAGGTGACTGTAAAGAGGCAGCGTGCTGCTCTGTGACTGAGCCTCAGCAACATTACTGGCTCCTATTGGTGCTGAGGGCTGAATCACATGTGAAGTAGTGGGACAATGTGGAGGATCCTGACACTCATTGATAGGTGTTGTTAAATCCTGTCTCACAGGAGATGGTTGTGGGATAGGAATTTGAATGAGCTTTGCCAGTAACTGGGGTTGTGTGGTAGGTTGGGCTGAGGGTTGTTGTACTTGAGACAAATTCTGCAGCTGTTGCTGGTACTGCTCTATAGACTGAGACATCAAAGACTGGGACATGGGCTGAATGGAAGAGGAATCGAGAGAGCTTCTTGTAGATTGCTGTTGGGCCTGAACAACTGGACGTAATGTTTGACTTAAAGCTTCACCTTTTCCAATCTGCACAGGATGAGGAGTGGCAAGAAGATCGGGAGTTTCAACTGCAAGACCACCTGCTTTAGTTTCAATGTTCCCAGTCGAACCTGGAGACAGAATGATCGGCTGATACTGGAGTGTTTGTTGATGATGCACTTGCTGTTGTGAAATACGAGTCATATCATGCAGTAAGGATGGCATGCTTTGGTGAGAAGGTTGAGGGACATATTGGGGGGTTAAAAATCCAGCTGTAGGCTGAGGATGCACTTGATAGGGTGACTGGCCTTGGGCTTCTTGTTGGAGATGGGACTGGATAAGACTTGGCCTTTGAACATTTTGCTGAACACACGTTTCATTGTGTATCGGACTAAAAACGGAAGCAACAGCAGCTAAGGGTTGAGCTGTATTTTGGTTTTGTTGGCCCATCATTTGAATATCAACTGTTGGGACCTGACCATGTATTTGCTGGGACTGTAGAATAGGTGTATGTAGAGGCTGAGTCTGGATTAATGGCTGAACAGCTACCTGACCCTGTGTGGGAGTTGCAGGTCCAGGACAATTAGCTTGCAAAGGAACTTGTTGGGTCTGGTAGACTTGCATTTGTTGCATTTGTCTTGGGATCATTGCCGCTGGAGAAGTTACATCAGCTTCAGCAGAAGGCTGAGGAGCTTGGGGTATTGACTGAGCTAAAAACTGGACTAGGAACTGTTCCTGCTTTTGAGGATGAACTTGTCCTTGATGAGTGAGGACAACAGGAGATGCCTGACAGGGAATTTGTGTATTCTGAATGGTCACAGGGACCTGAGTAGGAGCTATTACATGAGCTTGGCGCTGAACAGTTTCAGTGACACCTGGAACATCAACAGAAAGATGAGGAGGTTTAATCATGGAAGTATGGTGCTGTTGAGCAACAACTGATTGTTGCTGCTGGGTAAACTGACAGGCGTTTAGTTGTGGGATACACAACTGTTGTAAATTAGATGTTTGCTGCTGAATCTGCAGCTCACTGTTGCTTTGTAGAACATGTGCAGGTTCATGTTTTTCAGTTTGAGGGGGTTGAATATTGACAGCTTGTTGCTGCTGCTGCTCTTGGTGCTTCAGCTGAGCCTGTTGCTGTATTAAATCTGCTTGTCGCTGCTGCAACAAAACTTGCTGATGCTGCTGTTCTAACTGTAGTTGCAACAGAACTTGATGCTGCTGCTCCAAGTGTTGCCTGAGTTGCACTTGTTGCTGCTCTTGTTGCTGCAGCTGAGCTTTCTGTTGTACCTGCTGCAGTTTTAAAATGAACTCCTTTTGCAAATCTTGTATTAACACTTGTTGCTCTGTCTGTTGGGTTGCATTTTGCTGTTGTAGTTGTTCATTTTTCTGTTGCGTCTGCTGAGATTGCAGTGGCAATACATTGTTTTGCTGCTGTTCTTCACTTTGCTGTTGCATCTCTGCCACAGTTTTTGTTCTACTTTGGTGTAGTCCCGTTTGTTGATATGACTGACTTTGCTGCTGTTGCTGTACGGGAAAATGCTGCTGCTGTTGATGCTCTATCTGATGTAAGTATGCATGTGCCGATTGCTCTTGTTGCACAGGACTTTGCTGTTGCTTATCCATGAGTTGTTTATGTTGCAACTGGGCCTGCTGTTCATGTTGACGCAGTGCTGTTTGTTGCTGCTGATCAAACTGTTGCTTTACATACAACTGCTGTTTAAAAACATGAGGTTGCTCTGCTGGTTGCTGTGGTACTGCCACAGCTGTTTGTGTAGCCATCACATGCTGTTGAGAAGCTGATTGGACATGTTGAACAGGTTGCTGTACAAATGTCTGCTGCTCAGGCTCCTGTTGACGTTTCTGGATAGTTGAAGCTGAAAGGCTCTGTTGATCCTGTCCTAGTGGCAGCTGAATGGCACGAATGTGTTCAATGAGAGTCACCTGGGCCTCCATTTGCTGTTGGGGCTGCTGCTGTACAGTGGAAGTCTGGACATCCATCCCCATCTGTTGTTGTGGGACAATAGAATGATGTGAGATCATTACAGGCTGCATTTGTGGGGGTGTGGCATGGGTAGTGATGTCAGTGAGCTGCATTGACATTGCAGGGTGATGGATCTGCTGATTTGGGGGGACAACGGCCCCTGCTTGTCCAACAGGATCACTGGTTGGCATGGATGTAGTGAAAACATTAATGGGTGCTTGTGCGGAAACAGTGGGTATAAATGACTGTGAGGCGGCCACTGACCCATGAGGAGTGGCAGTTTGAAATGTTTCTGATGGAAATGTTTGTGACTATTCAGTGATAATGAAAGAATGATGATTAGAGGTCAAAGAAGGGAAGGATGGGGGAGAAAGCAGTAGAAAAATTAGGTTAAGAATAGGCAAGGAGCAAAAAAAAAAAAAAAAAAAAAAATCACAAAACACATTAACTTTTAATAACAAAGTTTCCCACAGTGTTTATAAAAGATGCCAACTGTTTAAATTTGTTAAACCTAGTTTATAAAAAATAATTACACTTTCAGAAGATAAAAATGCACTAAAGATAAAATTAAAAGAAGTAAATTTTTGCATCACAAAGTCATAGAGCTTCTTCATATCTTGCATCACTACTACAACAACTTCCTGGGGGAAACTTTGTGTATTGTTGTTCAAATTCAAAAAAATGTGAGTCTATGAGGGTTATTGGGTATTTTATTATTACTGAAGGGGGGGGGGGGGGATCCAAAAGAAACAGAGTCGTGGATCCATCATTTTGCTTTCATTAGCATTAATGTTAAACGTCCCAGCATAAATTTAGTTTTCATTTCAACATATGTATCATCATATTTCACCTGAAAATAGTGTTGAGGTACACTTGGTGATACCTGTGGAACCGTGATGTTGGGTTGAAGTAACGCCTGGGCAACAGGACCTCCTTCACTTTTACTAATGGGCATGCTGGACAAACTAACATTCTGACCAAGAGGCACATTTGGACCACTTCCACTCTCACCAATGCTGAGCATCAGAGGATTGACCAATGCTCCAGTGCTCTGTGAAACAGAAAATAGTTATTGAACAATGTATTTTATCAATACAGTGACTTGTGATGAGCAGAGTTCTATCAATAACTGGAAGCATAAACCTACAGTTGCCATAAGAGGGAGAGTAATCTGTGACTGGGAGTAGGACTCCCCTTGCAGAGAGTGTGCTTGGCTCTGTCCACTTGCATACGATTCACAGCTAGCAGACCCATGGGTTTCACCTTCTGAGTAAAATATATTTATAAATAGTACACAGTTTAAAAAATAAAGAAATGCTTTGTCAAATAATAAAGCTTAGTTTTTCATTTTGTTTTACAATGTCAGTTGCTTTAAAATGAAAGGTTTTCAAAAATGCTACCTGGCAAGCTAAGCGTTGTCGTACAAAAAATATGTTGATGCCTGACATGCTGATCTACTTCAGGCAGCTCCTCAGCCTCACGAACTACTCCTCCAGCTCCAGTTTCTCCACCTCCTGTAACACCAACTGCACCTTGCATCAGCGAGGATGGGCAGGAGGGATAAGAAAATGGATAGGCGGCGATAGTGGAGTCTCTGCGTTCTTCAAGACCTTGCTGAAGAAGCTGCAGCTGTCGACGTTCTCTGGACTTCTTAATTAGATTCACTCGATCCCGAATGGATTTTCCTACCACCTTGGTATCACTCTCATGAAAGAAACCAGACTTCACCTGTAATAAATGAGTGAGAGACAAACAAATAATTAAATAATGAGCAGATAAAGGGGTCTCCGTATCAGCAATAAGTATTGTGAAGTGGCCCACAAATGAGTTAAAGTTTTCCCTAAAACAAGTTTATATTGTTTTATCATCAGTACCTCTAATCAGTCATAAATTGTACTCATGGCTCACCATTTCTAAAGCAACTTCCTCAGCACTATCGTTCTCTAGATCGTAGCTGAACTCTATGGCCTCATTGTCCTTGTGCTTCCCCTTCAGCTTTTTAGGATCTTCAACCCAAATCCGAAGAGCTAGACAGTCCTGCATGCCTGTGTCCTCCTCTGCCAGCTCTACTCGTACCCCTGTGTCTTCTGCAAAAAATGCATGGTTCAGGAGGTCTCTGATAGAGAGTCTGTAAAAGAGGAAGAAGTTACTGCTGTTAAATAAATCAATAAATCCACAAGAAAAAAAACAACTAAAAATTAAAATCTGCTTACCTCTGGCTTCTGTTCTGACGTATGCAGCATTCAATGATCTCCTTGATTTCTGGATCATGTACTTTATCAAAGCTGGCTGGCTTTATACCCTGTGGAAAAAGGAATGGGAAATATTTGCATTTATAAAATTAGTTTTGGAATGGTTTGATTGAATAAGGCCAATTCAATCGTAAGCACTCACACTTGTCACTTTGCGATAGATCTGAGCAGCATTTTGGCATTCAGAGTAGGGATATTCTGAAGTAGCCATCTCCAGCATACACATCCCAAAGGCGTACACATCCACAGACTCATCATAGTGCTCCTCATACATCTCTGGAGCCATGAACTCTGGGGTTCCTGTTTGGACAAGATGGTAGTTTTTAGTAACAACCTAAACAGCTAGATGCTAGTTCACCACTTGTACAGTTTACCAAGGAGCACTCACACTTGTTGACCCAGTTTATCCAGTTTTCTGTAATTGCTCAGAAGTAGTTGGTCCGCAGATGCAACCTACCTATGACACTTTTGGCAAATGAGGTCCTCATGAGAGTGGCTAGTCCCAAGTCACCTATCTTGACTGATCCTGTGGGGCCTGTTATGAAGATGTTGTCACATTTAAGATCCCGATGGACAATTGGTGGAGTCCTGGTGTGAAGGAAGTGAAGGCCCTTCAAAATTTGCCTGCACCAACTCCTTAGGACCTTGGGTTTCATCACCTTAAACCGCTTCAGATAACTGTTCAGAGAGCACAAATGCAGTCACTCAAAATAATACTGTAAAAATAAAACAGACAGAAACAGAACAATATAAATACCTCTCTAATATAATGTATTGTCCAAATGGCTCTTGTTAGGCATACTAAGGATTCTAGATTGAACATGGATGTAAGTGTGCATGATTATTAGCCTTGAGTGGATTGGTGACCTGCTCATAGGATACGATTCAGCCATGATGAAGTGGGCAAATGGAAAATGAGTAATATTGAATTTTATAATTTCTCTTTTTTTAATTAAATTAAATGCTCTTAGTGAAAACTATTCACAAAATGATTGATAAATGCCAAGGCATTCAGAAAATATATTTTGGCATTATCAGCTTTGATGTCAATCACAGACATTCAAGGGATTTTTTTTTAACACCAAAGGTAACATGGAAACCCCAGTCACAATTACAGGAACTGAAAACAATATTAAACGTGTAAGTAACAGATTTTATACAAACGTTTTGAGGGTTCCTGACGTCATGAGCTCTGTGACCAGTACAATGCATTTCTTTCCACGGAGCGCAGACTCCCATGAATCATAAAAGCGAACTATGTTGGGATGCTGAAGCCCTTTTAACATTTCTGCCTCCTCTTTGAAGCGTTGTTGCTCCGCCTTGGTCAGCTTGCGGTCCTAAGAGAGGAACATGCAGAGTTATATTGTTTCAGTGTTAATTACTTCCTATATTTACTGGCTGGCAGCTCTAAAAAGGTGCAATAAAGGTATTACAAGAAGTCAACAAAGATTGCCTTCCCATTCTTATAGGTAATTTAAAAAACAAAGTATACTTCACAATTGTGCAATGACTCTAGTTGCCTCTAGATGGCACTAGCAAAGTAAAATAGCAGCAATGTTAAGCCAACACCCAAGCTGTGCCTTTAAAAACATCTCTGCTGCATCTGCCACATCTTCAGTATGTTGCAAATGCAAAGGAGTGTAGCAGAAATGCAGGCAACCTGAAGTAATTGGCCACTGATCAATCTCACAGTAAAGAAGAGCTAAATGGTTATTTATTAAACTGCTGTGTAGGGAAGGTGCATCTTCCTCTAGATTAAAATACAATAATGCTATTTACTATTACATAATTCAACTCTTGCTCAAAATCAATTCACACGATCCTGGATAGATTTTCATAAACACCTAGTTGTCTCACATAAAATGTGCTACACTAAAACAAAAACGCTGTCATTTTACTGTTTTCTGTCAAAAAAAAAAAACATGTTAAAATATGATTTGTAATTTGATGATAAACCAAATTTTAACAAAATCTTTTTTTAGATAAAACATGTGAAACATTTCACTTAAAAGTACAGTAAGTTAGAAACAAAAATATAAACCTTTCACAGGTAGACTTGTTTGTTATTTAGCATTTGGCTGTTTTTAGGGGAATAAACAAATTTAAAACAAACAACAACAAAAAAAAAACATTTGAAAAGATATTGCTCAAATGTAGGCGACTTTGAAACATGTACACACAAATGGAAACAAACTATAAAACAGGACACTGTGTTCAACTTCACATGTGTGAGAGAATCCATTATGGCAATCATTGTCATGTCAAAGGCAGACCTTGCTATAAATAGCAGTTGTCATAACATTGGCTTTCCACTGATCAATTCCATTGACACAGAGCGTTTTGCTTTATAAAAATCCCTTTAGAGAAGAGTTGCCCTGCAGACATTTGGGTGCATAAATACAAAGTTTTATTGCATGTAATGCGATCTTTCCTCGCTATCTATACCAATGTATGTTTTCCCTCATTGTAACATCTTCTTCTTTTCCCAACAGCACCTGTGTGTGTTTTTTTTGCTTTGTGCACTGTGTCCTTTTCTGGAAATACATGTGAGAAAGGCAATCCCTTCAGCCTTCCTCTTCAAACTAGGAAATAAATTAGTGTCAACAAAGACTGTTCCTGGTTACTGTGCTATGTCTAAGAATAAGCTACCCTCTCATGGCCTACCCTCAATACCTTTCATTCACCTCGTCAAACACCTCACATTACAATGAAATGCACATTTGAACACCTACAATAGTCTGCTTGTGTGTTGTTGTGTGTGTGTCAGTATTTTGGAGGTTTTTTTTAGAAAAAGCTTTTGTTTTCAAGCATGAATGCAACCAAAAGGCCTCTGTTTGAACTACTCTGTTTTTAATGACTCCTTGTCATTGTCTGATACAGTGTGAGGCAAAATGCTTGAGATTCCCTGTCTGCTGCCTCCTCAGCATGTACTGTGTCCGGCTGTGTCAAATCAGACAGCTGTGGGGTCAGCAAAAGGTCACATGTCAATTAATGTCTACATGAATCGGTCTAAATTTGTCTGGACAGATTAACTTTCTACTGTAAACAAACTCACAGACAAGCGTGTACACTGAATTATTTTTAAAAAAAGGAAATTATGGAGCTGATGCCCTAATTTAGAGTAAAAAGCCATGAATTTCTCAAGTTAAAAATAACTATTATTACTGTACTGCAATAAATCCTAATAAGTAAGACAGAATTCATGGTATCTATAACACTATGAAGAAGGTGATATATTCCTAAATCCAACCATAGTCGGTATATTTTGCTCAGCTGTCAAGCTCTTGGCATGCTGAATTGTTAAAGTGACATAACACATTTTTCTAAGATAACTAAAAGCATAAGTACTTTAAAAATGTACTTGAAATGTACATTAAAAGTAACAAGATGAGAGGCCGGTAAGTGTAAGGTGACTGTGCCTGTGTGGCAGCTTTCTGTCAAGGATAAAAAAAAATAGAAGTGTTTGTTGTAAAGAGCTCTACCTTCTGTCTGTGACTAAGGGTTCTGAGGAAATTAGTGAGATCCAGTCAGTGTTAAGAACTCGGGGTGAGTCCAACATGTATGCTGACTAATAGCAGTGCAGATTGAGAAACATTTCAATTAGACATTCTCATTCAAAGATTTGGGTCCCAGAAACTGCTCTGTGCACTTCTCTTGTATTATTAGGCTTGAAAGAGCTTATTTCTTTGCTTATTACAGAAGTCACTATCTGACAGCAATTATATTGGTGGAGAAAATACAGGCATAATATTTTGTTAGGATTGATATTAAAATCAGTATTACATACAAACCTTTTCTTAACTCAAGCAGTTAAATGTGCCAAGGCAGGCATTATCACTGTTACATTTTTATCTGTTAAAAATGCTTTGAAGTTTTGTACTTCTCCTTTTGTCTCTCGACAGGAAACAAAAAAACAAAAAGTAGCACCGTGTCCCACTTTACCGACTTTAAAAGTGATATTTCACGCAGTAACATTCAAGAAATAATCAACTCAAAATCCCCTATGCAGGCTCTGTAAATATAAATGTAATAAACTTTAAAAAGTGATCAAATATTTTTGATGCAACAATAATAGGAGAGGGTTATTAGAACATATGTAGGCCTTCAAGTTTTATTAGTCAAGACTTATTTAAACAGATTGATGGTATGTCAAAAAAGTCAAAAATAAATTTAAAGGTAGTAAAGCATTACCAATACATTCACATTGTCACGTTTAATCAAAATTGTAATATATTAGTAATTTTCTTAAACAATAGCTTTAATTCTAACCTAAAATTTTATGTAGAAAACATTGTATACGTTTTTGCACACGAAGGGGAAAAAAAGGTCATTGAGTGTACATGAAACTTGTGAAACTTGCAAGCACAGTTGTTGAAAGAGATACCTCAGACCACAGGTGTCAAACTCATTTACACAACAGCGCCTTGGACTGCAAAGAAGACAGCTCTACATTTGTTGTGTTTACTGTGCATGTGACAGCAAGAAGACAGCCGTCATCAAAACTACAAAGCACAATTCACCCACATTGTTTTAAACAGCAAAGTGGGCATATATTCTCTCTCAGGTTTTGTAGCATCCCCGAAAAGGGACGAGCCAAAAGAAGTCACGTTTAGCATTTTACCTGTTTTTTTTTCATAGTATTTTGTCCACCAAGTCAAAAAACTTAGAATATAAAGCAAATATAGTCCATCACAACATTCTTATTTAGACTTATTTTCAGGCTTATTTAAGCCTTATTGACTGTAGTTTGATATGTTTTGTAGACAAATGTGTTTTTTGTTTTAAACAGTTCCTGTAATTTTGTTATTAGGTATTGCCTCCACAACAAGCACTGCAAATAAGAAAACACATAAAGCCCTAACAGACCCAGCAGAGTAATGTCAAGCTACAGGTTGTAAGCCTTATAAAACACTGGGCTAAATGGACTAGATATGGCTTACAAGGCACATTTGGTAAATGTTAAGAGGATAGGGTCATGAATACTAAAGCACGTGGGCCCTAAAACATCCACATTGGCAAATACTGCATAAGTGTCCAATGTCACAGGGGTTATTTTCAGGTTATGCTCCTCTGAAAAAGCCACAGTGGGATAAACAGGGTTGATTTAGGGCATTGTCAATAAAAAAAGAAGACAGTCTTGTGTAGCTGTTTGTAGTTATTTCTACGTTAATAAATTTGCCAGTAATACGTTGCCATGCAGCATAGATTTACGTGTGTCAGCGTTTTAAAATCTGAGGTGGCGGATGGCTGGGATTACATTACTGTAAGCTACAACAGCTCTAACTAACAAGATTGATTGCTCCAAAAAGGCCGGCCTGCACGCCAGATTAAAGCTCGTGATCAGTAGGTTTGCTAAACCTCTTTAAATGCTGCTAGCCTATACGCTAAATAAACCACTTTTTATACAACTGTCAAATAACACAAAGCAGCGCCACAAGCGCCAAAACTGACATTTAGTCAAGATGGCCTACTGGAAGAAATACAAAATCCCAATTACAACAACAATAAAATAAAACCTACACAAAGCAATTGAGTGAATTACGCTAAATAATACCCACGTCATAACAATTTTTGGTAAATGTTTCAAGTTTATTGATTCCAGATAGGACTGTACAGTTAATGGGGGGTGTTATGTGGTTTCTGTTGTATTAAAAAAAAAAGATGGTAATTGAATTTCTCCTGTTGCCAGTTAGGTAATAATGACTGTGGCAGGAGGATGTGTACAGCCGCAGGGACTAGATACAGACTAGAGACACATGTCAATTGTCAATGACCCACATGAACATGTCTGGCCAGTTTAGTTAGATTAATTCCAGTCTGGTCACTATAGCTTTAGTCTCTTTGACTTTACATCTAAAGTACTTATGTCAGTCACACCTAAATAATGTAGTTTGATTTACTTGGTCTAACTTAATTGCTCTTTCGACATCAAAAGCAACCAAATTATCCTAATTTTTTCATTTGTCACAGTAAAAGACATCAGAAAAAAAAAAAAAACATGTTTTAAAAGAATAAAGGCGAAGGTTCTCAGTCTTCCAGGTCATGGTAATTCCAAACAAAAGGTTAAAAAACAAAACATCTGGACTTTTATTCTGAAGCAGAACTGTCCTTTTCAGCTACTAGAAGTCTAGTTTATATAACATTTTTTGAGGAATACTCATAGCATCCACTAATTATCCTAAACAGGAAACGTTTCTAAATTAAAGTTGGTTGTTGGTAATGAGAAGTGATAATTGCTCATCCTTAAAAAGATGAATTTATAATTACAAAGGGTTTAAATCACACAGAGATAGAGAAAGGGTCCTGCCGAAGTTTCAGATAGTGGGAGAATACAAAAAGAGAATGCCACTGTTTGAAGTTGGTATTTGTCTTTAGATATAAAGACAAATACCAGCCTTGTTACTAGAGAGAACAACCCCCCACACATTTCCATTGGTTTTTCATATTTAACTTCCTTCCTGAACGTTGCTCTAGGCATGTGAGCCTGGCAGGGCGAAGCTGAGCTGGACCAGTCTGGGATGGCTGGGATAAACCAGTCTGGTTTCTGCCGCCCGAGTTATGCTGTCTGTGCAGGGTTTTTGTTCCAGCCTGACAGGCACCCACTGTAATTAACTCCCTGGATCATGCTGCATGCTCACTCAAACAGACAAAAAAAATGGGATAGAGTGAGATGGGGAGGGAGGGAAGTGAGAAAAAGAGAGGGAAAGTGATAGGAAGAGTAATACAGTGACATACTGTGTGCCTGACAGACGGGCAACAACAGACCACACACAGATGTACACAAACACAATCATTAAGCAGAACACAGAATAAAAAGCACTGCCCTTTTAAGAGTCTAATTTCACAAGTAAATCTAAATAAAAAGATGCCTTTAGTGAGTAGTAGGTTCCTTCTCTTCTCTTTTCAAGCTGCACATGAACACCTTATCCCCTTGCTTCCCTAAACTTATGGGGAAAAGTGGAGAGGAATGCAGTTCTCCCTGGCTGTAGTCTGACAGTCTAAAATAATTTGCAGCATGAAGCCTTCAATATGGGATCATAACATAGATGTTCATGGTGTTAGGACATTATAACAACAGCTACAAGTATTTTCTGTTCTTATAAGAGATTCATAGGAGGAAATAGTTACTAAGTGAACTAAAAAAAAATACAAGAGTGTTAACAACTAGGTGTTTTTTTATTTAAAATAAATTATCTGAGATGAATGCAGTTGTATATTGTACTATTAAAGATTAGAAAAAAGGCATTTATTTACTGGAAGAAAAAGACAGAATTATTCTAGTCAAGTCAAGTCTAGAAATAACATTACTGCCATAAATAAATCATTTTTAACCTTTTTGTCTATTTTAATGCCACTTTGCACACTGTACACAGGCTTTGGTCAGGTGGAGTAAATAGGACAGACCATGTGCCCCCAAGAGACTAGAATGTTGCACTGAATGGGCACTGGATCCATCTATAGACATGTGATAGTGTGCAGCTTGTGTATGTGCACACCTGAGTGTTTCCCTCCATGTGATAACTTAACATTAGCTCTAGGATTGCTCCATGGGAGGGGTGCCACTTTAGTCTGTTTGTTTTGCTCGTCTCCCCATCACCTTTATCCACTTATTGTTTCAATTTTTTAGCTGTTGCTTTGTTTGTAAAAACCCATTTTTCACTCTAGTTTTTACAGGTTTAGAATTTTAAATCCAATTAACCTAAGAATTATGTATACTCTCTTTTAAGCTCCCTTATTATGTAGTCAGTTTTATAATAGTCATCCATCCATCTATTTTTCATTCAACCTTTATCTAAACAGATAAATCACATTGAGCCTAAAAGACTCATTTACAAGTGAGACCTGTTTAGACAAAAAAAGTGATAAAATGGACACATGTAGGAGTTGGAGGCGAAAAAATTCCTATCAGACTTTTTTTTTCCTGCCTGAGAAAAAAAAAAAAACTCTTAATATTAAAAAAAAAAAAAAAAACACCTCGCACAAACAAGCACATAGTGACATAAACATTCTGCAGAGGGGGGAGCCGAGAGCGGTGAGCATGTTCATAGATGCTCTTGAGGTCACTGTAAGAGTTCTGATAAGGATGGAATAATCAGTCAATGTCCTCCGGTGAGATCCATAAACATTCTCCAGGTATGTCGAGGAATGGCCAAGAATAACGTCTATGAGAATCCAAGAGTCCTGAAATGATGACACAAAGTTTATTCAGCTGGTTTCATCTGGTTATCAGTTGGAAATTCCTCAGGGAGGAAGGTGGTGAGCGTCAGATCACATTTTCTCCAGGCAAATTCAGATAAGATGACCTTAAAGGCCAGTCAAGGGAGCCAAATTCAGATAAACACACAGTTGTTTTGGGGACAGGCAGAACTTAATGACATCTACCTTGAGTCCGTGTTGGTCCACTCGGTTCGGAAATGTCCAAAATACATGGCCACACCGATGGAACGTGACTGAGTAAATCTGATCCATTCTGCCCAAAGCATTTGAGTCTGGGTACTCGAGACACGAACCAAGCCATCATAAAGGCAAGCAGCGTGATTGGGTCCACATTTGCTGCCGACGACTTCCTTGATCGATTGATAAAACCAGCAACCAGCCCAATCCAAAAAGCAGGAACCAGTTATCGAAAATCCAATTAAATATGTGTCCTTAAAATCCACAAATGGCAGCAGAGATAGACACATCATCAAGTCTTCCAAGTCGATGAGATATCCAGCTGCGTGCCAACAGGGCAAATCGGCTCGCCTAAAGCCTGTCTTCTCTTCGAAGAAATGTTGTAAATTGAGTTGAGGGACCAACTGATCAAAAAGTCCATAATTATGGTTCAGAAGAAATGCAAGAGAGTCTCACAAGCAGTTTCACAAACAGACAGAGCAGCAAAGCAAAGCAGAGAGGGAGGGCGAAAGCATCTGATCTTGGCAAGAGCAAGTGGTGAAGTGAATATATCCATTATCTTTGCTTTTTCCGAAGTCGGGTCGCGGGGACAGCAGCTTGAGCAGGGAGGCCCAGACATCCCTTTCCACAGCTACCTCTACTAGCTCTTCTGGGGGGACCCCAAGGCATTCCCAGGCCAACCGAGAGACATCTCTCCAGTGTGTCCTGGGTCTTCCCCGGGTTCTCCTCCCAGTCAGACATGCCCGAAGCACCTCCCTAGAGAGGCGCCCAAGACATTATCCTTACCAGATGCCCGAACCACCTCAACTGGCTCCTCTCGATTATAATAATCAATTAGTAAAAATAAATAAATAAACAAATAAATAAATATATACACACACATACACACACCTTAAGAACATGCTCTGGCTTGCTGCAGACAGAACAGAACTGGATGTTACTAATGTATGGGTGTCGTTTATTCCTTGTCTTTTAAATGTCAACAAATGTTCCATCAGCTCAAATTTGTTTTCTTTTTTATCAGCCAAGGTCAAGAAGTTAATGAAGATCTAAGAAAAATGTTATTTTATCAAAAGTAAATCATCCCACATTTGCAAGCTGAGCAATTCTAAATCAAAAATAGAGATGCCAATGCATCAAATCAATATTAATGACATACAAGTCCGTTCTCTAGGTGTTGTAGTATGCAGGGGCCTGTCTGCTGCTGGTTAGTCCAATAGACAGAGTCTGATCTCAAGGATTAGCTCTTGTTTTGGGATCAGCTCCAAACCAAACACATGACTGGCTGCTCACACAAAGCCAACAGTCAAATGAGATAGCTTACTATCACACTGCTCGCTATTGTGAGGCTAAGATGAAGAGAAACGCAGTTCTTTCTTCTACAAGTCTATCTCCCACCTCTTGCTGAAGCCATCCAGATTAACAATGCTCTGCATTAATCACGAGCGTATTAAACTATGGCTGGTCACTTGAACAATAATCTCATTCTATTGCATGTCATTGTTTTCCTCCCACTGGACAATCAGTGCATAAAGAATTTCCTACAGCAATATTTACTATTGTAACAAATAAATGTGTAATAACCATCACAAAATGCACTCTAGTCAGAGGTTTCTTTTAGATTACAAACTTTCGTTCCATACTAGTATATCTTACACAGAATTGTGCAGTACTTAAGTAGTCACAGTGTACTAGACAGTTGATAAAAAGTGACATTTACTTAATCAGTTTTTATTAATTATTTTGTGTGATTGCTTATGTGGGCTGTGCAACTGAATTACTAGTGAAGTAAAATTACTTGGCCTTACCTGAAGTTCACACCATGCGACCTCCACCCAGGTCTCAGTGTCCAGGCCTTTATACACCGTCTTGAAGGCTCCTCTGCCAAGTTCAATGTCAAACTTGAGGAACCTTCCTCCAGGAGAGGTAGCAACAGCCTTCATCTCTGCCTCCTCTTCCTGCTCACGATCCCTTTCCCTTACGCTCGGGGTAGGTACAGATGAAGAAGCATCCTTGTCAGTTTCACGACCCTGAGATGGGTCATGTCCCAGAGCTGCACAAAAAGAAGCAGCTGCTTGTTGCTGGGCAATGCCAAAGCTTGATTCTGTGGAGAGCAGCTCCAGATGGGGGGCACTGTGAGAAGCCTCAGGGGGCATCACGACCTCGTCATCTATCTCACAGATCTCCACACTCTTTCTGAAGAAGCGCTTCTCCCGTTTCAGGGGTTTCTGACCAGTGTCACCAGGTAAGCCAGGCTTGGAGACAAAAACTGGGGTCTCCTCAAACTCATAGAAGATTTCATCTTCTTCTCCTCCTCCCTCTCCTCCCCCTTTTCTAATTCCTCTATCTTCTCCTTGTGTCTGTCTTTCCCGTTGAGTCTTGGAGGAGGAGGAGTCAAAGGGAGTGCTAGGTGGCCCATCCTTGTGTTGATCTGTCCTGTTCTTCCGCTCTTTAGCCTCTTCCTTTTGTCCAGCAGGCTTCTCTGAGGAGTCCTCGGTGCCTGTGGGCTCCCCTGGGTCAGTAGCCATAGGGAATGGTCTTTCCCAGTCCTCCTAGACCTCCTCCTCCTCCACCTCCTCCAAATCTTTGTTCCACCGTCAGACCCCGTCTCTCTCTCTTTAGTGTGTCTCCTCCTCACCTCTTTGCCAAGCTGCACTTTCAGTGTGTCAGGTGAAGGATTCCTTACTTTGGCAACTCTGTCCCCTCTAATCCACCCTTCTTACTCTGTTTTCTTTTCACTGATGTCTTACAATAATGTAGGAGGATGAGAGCATGACTGTTGAAGAACAGCTTTTGTCTTCATCTGCCTCATCATAATGTTCCTACATTTTCATCTAAATAGACTTGTGGTGAAGAAATCAAAGAAAGCCACACGTCTCTCAGTGAACACACTAAGCCAGAGGGCTTTGTCTCATCTTTCCAGAAAGTTGAAGTGCTTTGGGTTTTTTTTTCAAATTGTTATGTGAATTCCTTCAGGTAAATCTGCAAGACAAAAGGAAAACACAGCATTAATGTCAGGTAGATATGAGAAACAATTATTTCTATGTTGACCAATCTAGGTTTCTAAGGAAGAAACGTTTAGGCATGCCCACAAATAGAGGTTTAAACATTAGAAAGTAGAAATATTATACTTCTATTAACTATCTCCTTGTTATGAAACATGAGGTATCAGTAATTAATAACACAGTGAATTAAATAAAGCTCAGACTTTGTAGTTAGATAAAATAAATTTAAAAAAAAATTCAGAACGAGTATCTAAGGAGCAAGCTTCATCAATCACCCAGCTCATCCTCATCACAATCTTGTGACTTAAATTGTGTTCAACAACTCCCTTAGTCAACAGAGAGCTGCAGTTAGGGAGAATGCAATCCCAATCATTAAATATAAATGACGATCTAGGGGCCAGTTGAGTGTGAATAATTCATAGGAAGACTGACTGTTGAACTCTACTGGAGTGAATACAAGACATCTGCAATGGACGGCTGATAAATGTAAACAGCTGTGATTATGATTACTTTCAGCAAGGTCACCAAACAGAATTAATCAGTTCAATAATGGTTCAACTCTGAAACATGGTGAAGGGCAAAAGTTCAAGACTAAGTGTCACTGAGTTTTTACAAGCAATTGGTGTGTGAAGACTAGTGGGCAATTTTCTGGTGACACACTTCCACTCTCTTCCATTTTTGCCATGTGTCTCAAAGGTTTTTATCTTCTTTTCAGTCTGTCAGCAAACAATATTTTAGCAGCTCCTTTAAACCAGTTTTGCTAAAAAAAATGTTTCACAAAGATACCATCTGGCCTAAAGTTTCTCTGACAACAGTTTCTTAGAAACAGAGTTAGGCAACAAGTTACAGATCTAATAAAGTGCAGAGTCACCATTTTGAATTTACAAGAAGCAAGCTAACTGCAAACTGACAACAGGTGCTGCACAGAAGAAAGGCATCCATGCAGTTGTAGGAAAGAAGTAAATGAAAACAATTATGCAAGGTCCAGATCAGCGTTAACAACTCGCTTTGCGTGTTAATTTACAACCTGACCCTTTTTAGTTTGCAGCTCAGCAGGTGAAAATTTCTAGGGTTCCCTATGAAAACTTTTCTAGAACATCCCTGTCACAAATAGGATGAGGCCTATAGGGGCCAAGATGGTTTAGAGACAGAGCAGCCGACCTGGGACCAGAAAGTCGTGGCTCGACTTCCCGCCATGCCCACATCGCGGTGTTCCTGAGCAAGACACCCAATCCCCAATTGCTCCCTGGGCACTTACATAGCTGCCCACTGCTCCACCTGGGTGTATCTCATGTGTGATGGGTTAAATGCAGAGAACCAATTTTGTCATTGTATGGGAACATACAATGATGACAACACATTAGCCACTTATTCAAAAAGCGTTCAATACAAAAAATTAGAGGAACAAAGACCTACTGTTTTAGGTTTTAGGTGTGAACTGCCAATCTACATATATGTGTGTGTGTGTGTGTGTGTGTGTGTGTGTCTTATGTGTGTGTGTGTGTTTTATCTCACTCAGCCTTATAACCTGAATCTCTCACTCTCTGCTCTTTGAATTGAGAAAGCTCCTCGGATGAGGAGCGAAACGTCTTCTGTTACTAATAAAGTCCAGTTGTTTTTGTATTGAACGCTTTTTGAATTCATCATGTCCTGGATGACTGAGAATCTTCACCAGCATATTAGCCACTTATATACTTACAAACACTGGGTACCCTGAATCTAGGGTACAATCCACTAAGCTCTGAAGACATCCACAAGAACCATCTTGTACAGTAAATGTGGGTTCTTGAAATGTGACAGAAGCGAGTCCAGATAGTTACTTGCAGTGAAAACAAAGTTAATTTCCACAATTAGAAATTTATTTTATTTCTTATAAAATAAGAGCGGCTGTGGCCGAGTGGTTAGAGCAGTCATCCTCCAATGCAAGAGTTGGGGGTTCAAATCCACCAGCAGTCACATGCTGAAGTGTCCCTGGGCAAGACACTGAACCCCTCATTGCCTCCGATGTGTGTCCCATTGGTGTATGAATGTGATCTAAAAGCACTGATTAGTCTCTTTAGAATGATTTGTTCAATTAGCTTTGTACAGATCTAGTAGAGTGATGAATGAATGGGTAAACGAGGACACAGATTGTAGTGTAAAGCGCTTCGAGTGTCTTGATAAGATAGAAAGGCGTTATATAAGTACAGTCCGTTTATACAAAATTTAAATCAAGCCTACTGTGTCTCTGAATTCAACGTAAAATCATCTGACATACAATGCCAGTATGGCTGTCAGTTGGATTAAAACAAAAGATGCTGCTGAGAGACCAACTGCTAGACTCTTTAAAGCAAAAAACAAACAAAAAAAAGAATCCAGTTCAGCAACATTCACAAGACATGTGCTGTAAGATATGAACGTTAAACAGTGTTAAGTAGTCTGCAGAACAACTTAATAACTTTAACAGAAATGAAGATAACATTTTGGCTGCACTTTGACAGGTGTCAAATAGCGTAGCCTAAAACTAAAGTAAATAGCTTAAGTTATGGCAACGTGAGGCTTAAAAAGGTGACGCCTAACAGGATGTGATGAACAAGAAGGGGAAAAAACAACAAGCAATAAAAAGAGGGAAGTTGCCCTTTAAACAGGAGCTTTTTTGCTCAAGTCCCCAGGGTAAGGAGTTCCCATGAAAGCCACATACCGGACAGAGTTATCACAGTACATCAAGCACATTCAACTGCATCGCAATCTCTCACACTCTCCCAGTCTCTCTTACAAACACACATGCAAATATTCAACGCACATCAGCTAGTCACAAGAGATTTTTGTTGTTTTACACTCCGTCTTTTATACACAGACAAAAACACACACATCAAAAGCAAACTGTCACCCAAAGCACATGTCCCTTTTCAATGAAAGAATGCCGAGAGGAATTTCCTGACACCAGCCAAATGACCGAGCAACTGCTCATGCGGGTAAATGTGATAAACTAAAGTTGACAATAATAAGACCAATACTGCAGTTGAAACTGTGGCATTTCACCGGGAGAGAAAAACGATGCTAGCACACAACAAATTTCATGACCAAATCATTCTTGCCTGATTTCTGCACCAGTGTGTGAGCACAAGAGAAGTGAGCATTAGACGTGTTGCAGTGTGTCTGTCCTCCAGACTTCTAGGCCGCTGTTAGAACACCTGCAGCTGCTTAATAACCTTTGAAATGTGCTGCAATAATTATTGAGACATTTCATGCTCTATCAATGCCAAAAATAAGATTGATTGTTTAGGCATGAAAATCCACTGACGACACCTTTTATTTTCACACACACACACACACACACACACAAATATTCTCACAGTCTGAAGCCTTCAAGAAATCACCACATAAAAAATAAAAATATAAACTTGAAAGCTCACGAGGAAATGTTCCACAAGTTGCAGATTGTACACATTTAAATGCAACAAAACACTTTAATCCTGTTGCACAGTTACTTCATTTTATCGAGCAGATCAGATAAATTTGCCCGTTTGACAAAGGGAGAGAGACAGGGGACTCTGTGTCCACATCTATGCATAAATAGCATCTATGGATACATTTCTGCTTGACCAAAAAGAGCGACAGTTATGAGAGCACACTAGAATTGTGTAGTAGACTAATATAGAGCCCAAGTGATTACATGAGCATAAAAGTAGTTTCTTTGGCATGTCCTGTGTCAGGAACCTAAATGGGTTCAGTCACTTTGAGAAAGGAGACTGATGTAAAGATTTTATGTATGAAAACTTCTCTTGTAGAATAAAAACAAACCAAATTAACTTTGAAAAATTAACATTTTACAGTGAGTAATTCGGTTTTCACCGTTTTACACATACACATAACAGTTGGGTCATTAAGAACAGTTTCTTATTTATAGTGTTGTTCTAGAATTATATTGCATACCTTCAGATAATAAAAAGTTACCATAGCCAATCAGTAATGACACATGTATATCACTGTAGCAGAACATGGACCCATTTACACGTTAAAATCTCAGAAAGTCATCTTTTAAACCAACAGATCAGTTTTCAGATTTCCTGAGTTTTCACTGATTTTTCATGTTTTTCTCAAATTCCATGAGTTTTCTCTATTTGGAAAATATGAAAGTAATTTTCCATGTTTTCTCTGATTTACAGAGTTGTTGGGCACCCTGTAAATAACCAATACAGTTTAATTTCTCTGTGTGTGTGAAAGACACACAAAGGAGACAGAAGAAGAAAGAGACAATGTTTCTGTTGCGCACGCTGCTTTTAGGACATTTCGATACAATTTTTGACAACTTTCGACCTTGAAGTTCAAACCATTGACAAAATATTTGATATATTTAATATCTTTTAAAGCTAAATAATAATGTGCACACATTTAGTTAATTAGGTATATTTAGATTTTTTTTTCATTTAAATCTAAATAAAATGATTTCAACTCGAAGAGCAGATGCAAAGTTGCAACCTTTGTCCCTGAATGTTCTTTTCAGCTGTAATTACTGGTCAAGTCTTATCCTTCATCAACTCCCAGATGCAGCATTTTGCATAATCCCTGAGCTGATCAACAGACTTAATGAGCTTGGTGAAACTGCACCAGGAAGCGTTATATTTCATACACAATAGTTTGGAAACTGAGAGTTAAAAAAAGAAAACCCCTGGTTGACTTTAGATGACTGAGGGAGTTATTACTCATCCATCCTTGGAGTATAGATTGTTTCAAAAGCAAATTCAAACTTGCCTGCAAGTCCAACTTTTCCATGCATGATTAATGCAGCACTCAAATTTATGCAGTCTTTCTTCAATCCAGCATTAGTCCCACAGAGATTTACAGAGGCTGAATAATGTGGGGAGACAAAGGTAACATAAGGTCTGAGAGCTGCTGGACAAAATTCAAATGGGCTTCACGTCAAGAAGCAACTTTACTGATGGTTGAATGTCCCTGCAGCTCAGCTGCTGATCACATTTTAAAAGGAAAACTAGTTTTGCTCTGTGGCCATGTTAAACACGTATGATGAATCACTTACTGTAAGTGGTGGATTCATACCTCAAAAAGTTCAGTGTTTGATGCAGTTTTAGATCAGCATGAACTAAAAAATAAGACATAACTAAAACTAAACTCACCATTTTCTTTTCCTCAGAGACAAAAATTAGTTGGGCACATGTTGCTCCCATGTTTGATGCTTTTAGAGCCAGAAAGAAAAGTATCAAACGCCGGCTACTTGACTAAACGCACACAACGATGCGTTATCTTCCGATTAGAGACAACAAGGGCTCAAAACACAACAAGGACTTTTGTCCAATCCAGGTCAAGCATGTGAGACTGGAGTGTAGGTAGCAGCACAAACACTGTACTGTTCACTGAGACAGAATACTGCTTGTGTTTTGTCCAAGCCCTAGTTTTAGTTCACTTTCATCCCCTCTCTGTGGGCACAACCATCCAGTTCTAAAGAATTCCTCCCCAGGTGAGAGAACAATCTCCTAATCAGCCAACGATAAGGTTTTCACATTACAGATGTGGATTAATACCTTTATAACTGAGCCCCTTGTAGTTCTCAATTTGTTTGCATGATTAAAAACACAGAAGTGTTTGGCAGTTTGGAGTACAAACTTTTAGAGAAGTTGAATAAAAAAAGTACTCGAGCTTATAAATATAGAAAATAAAGGCCAAACATTTCTAGAAAAAGAAATTGCATCGTCTGCCGCCTTTGATTGATGCTGAGAGTAAGCACTGAAGATGACTCTCTGCTACTACCACACCAAATTTGAGCTCAGAATTGATAAAACTGAGTTTTAATCAGTTATGTTGGCTGCTGTTTAGCTGTGGCGACCATCTTGAATCAGGCTCCAAAAGTACATCTAGCGGTTACTTTGTGTAAGCTTTATTAAAATTTGGCCAGTGCTTCGTCAGCTATTTTGCAAATGTTGAGCATGTTTTTTGTTGCAGTTTAGTAAGGCAGTTATCTTTTTGTGTTTCCAAGTACTCCTGTATGGACCTTTTTACTAATGTGCATGTGTAAACTCAAGCACCATGTGCCCAAATAGTCATAACTATTTCCGGTATTCAAGTCCAGTGTTCATTTCTATTCTTTCGGTCGTGTACACCTGCTTTTAATTGACTTACATACACAATGGATTTATAAATTAGATTTGCTGGTATTTTAAGTTGTGATCGCTAAATATTATACACAATTTAGTTCCATCACATGTACCACGTGATGAGAGCGACGATAAAGAAACCTTGACCTAAATGTCTTCAATGTGCAATGCTGCTGGGTGTTAGAATGACTGCAGGTACAGGTAGATATGAACACTGGGAAGACTACTGGTAAATGTGGATCCACACCAACCCTTGATACCAATAAATGCAAAGCTTGAGAATAATTTGTAATCATTTTTGTTGTTGTCATATAATGGTCAAATCTTGTGATAATAACAGATTTACACAAGCAACAAATAATATTTGATTAGATGTTAAAGAGCCAAAAGCAAACATGAACCCATCTAGACCACAATGCATCGCAAAATACTGACATCGAGCATGCACAATCATAAAAGGTCAAAACTCTGAGCTCATCTGCTCATTAACACAGCTGTTACTTAGTTCCTTGTTGATCATAAATAAATTGTGTACATAAAAACGTTATAAGTGGTGATTAAGGGCAAGTATTGTGAAATTCCCCCTTGGATGACGATTCAAGGCATATATGTTAGGCTGATTGGTAACTCTAAATTGTCCCTAGGTGTGAGCGAGAGAGTGAGTGGTTTGTCTCATTTGTCTCCATGTGGCCCTGTGATGGACTGGAGACCTGTCCAGGGTGTCCCCCCGCCTCCCACATAGTGATGGCTGGACATAACACCAGCGACCCACGCAACCAGAAAAGGAAGAAGTGGGTAAAAGCTAATGGATGGATGGCTGTTTCTAGGTTACAAGTTACAACCTGCACAGTAGATAGGCAGGCAGCAAGCACAGCCATTGGCTATGACTGACTGTAGGAACACAGTGCAGGAGGCAAACACCTCACCGTGAGGGGGGGGGGGGGGGGGGGGGGCAACCGACAGCATCCCAATCCACAGACCTCATGTACCCCCTGATGTATGAGCAAGTTCACATCAGTGATGGGCTAACTCTTGGTATCTGAGGGCCTGACTCACCCCCAGCCCCCCCACCAGCACGTCAGTGTTAGCTCTGCATATGTTCAGAATAATTAGTAAATACAAGATAGCTGAAGAGAGCACTCGGAATTCCCACACAAACGCAACACAATGAAATGCCGAGCTATCGTTTCACAAATTGTTACTTCACGTTGTAATGGAAAATAACAAAAACACTCACCCATATGTAATGAAGGTCGTGCCTCGTCAGTCCCGCGATGATTTTATGTGACAACAGCTGAGCATGCTGTAAATTATATTGTTTTCTTTTTTCTTGCTGCTTATTTACAAGTGTTACGATTATTTCCCCCCGATTCCGACCCTTTGATCTGAAACGATTCAGACACGTTATAAAACGATAGCATTCTTAAAAAAAATTAAAATAAGAGCGCGGGTTCGTCTGCTTCTTTTCTATTGTAGTCTGTCCGCGGTGTTAGCGGCTCTCAAACCCCCATCCGAGTCGTCGAGCCTCGGCTTGTTGTGAGACAGACAGCCGGGCAGGTGCTTCCAGCTCGGACGACGCTCGTCGTTGGTTTCCGCTTCTCCCCACTCGCTGCTCGCTCGGTAGGCTCCGAGTTGTGCCGTCGGCCATTCATGGGATTCCCGAAAATATCAGCAACTTATGTACACCATTTACAACAGGCGACTCTAACCGCAGGTTCGCGTGCGTACTGGCAGCGCGCGCGCTGCCTGACAGTTCAGCTCGTCATCATCTCGAGGACGTAAAACAACGTCAGTTAGCACGCATGGCCACTAGGGGGTAGTGTGGCACAAGTTAGTGTGTCAGTGCTGTCAGTCTCACTCGTCAAACCCAGTGGGCGGGACTAGGGCGTCTCGAGAGCAGACTTTGACGCCTGATTGGCTGCTCTTCACAGCAACCTGACAAATCGATCGCAGATATTTGTTTGCTCGAAATTATAGCAAAGGTGTGTCTCAGTTTAACTATTACTTAATAAATTCATTTTAATGGTCAAATTAGCTGCATTTCGCCGGGGCGGTGCAGTGAGATGAAGCTGATTTGACCAGTGGTGGAGAAAGTACTCAAACACTGTACTTAAGTAAAAGTACAAATAAACACTGACAAAAATGTACTCTAGTAAAAGTAGAAGTACCACATCAATGTTTTTACTTAAGTAAAAGTAAATAAGTACTTGCTTTTAAAAATACTTAAAGTATTAAAAGTACCATTACTTGTTGATGCAATATCTATACAATATCATAAGGTATGCCTGCCGTATATATATTTTCTGTAATACATTAATAGTGTTGTGTCATTTTAATGAACAATGCTGCAGATAATACATGCTTTTATTGTGTTTACTCTGTGACACAGTTCACACTTGGACTTGTGATTCTGTGCGTCAGAATTTCAAGGATGACGTGCAGAGTTAAATTTCATTAAGCAAAATAAGAAAGAGGAATGATTATACCTTTGAAAGTTTTTATTTAACACAAAGCAAAACCAATGTGTCATTTTAACTGCAGTAAACATATTTAAGTAAAAGTTGTCTGCCTGAACAAAAGGAGCATTAGACCTAAGAAAGGAACAAGCACTGATCATTTCAACTCCAGTTTGTCATCAACTCTAGTTAAAATACTGTCTAGTCGACCTTGTAATGGGTCAATATGAACAATAGTTTAACTTCCTGACACCATTTTTAAAACTTGGACCTGAGCGTCGAGCCATTTGGAGACATCTCTTGTCTCCTGTCCTAACATCGTGAACCGACACATTTTAATATTGCAGCAAGAATTTCTTGTTCAAGTTCAAAAGAAGTTGGTTTTCAACGTTTTTTGAGTCCAGTCTGGATGGTTACCTGCCCATTTTGCAGTGATTCAATGGACCAACTCCCCTCTCGCCATTGGTTACTTTCAAACTAACGAACAAATCAAAAAACTGCAATGTGAATGTAACTTGTAACACAACAAATTCTAGAAACATAGTGTAGTAGAAAGTATAGATACTGCACTGAGCTGTATCCTGTATGTGCCCTCCGCATTTACAGCACCCATCCATAGAATGGTTACAGCGTTCATAGAGTTTGAGGTTTATCGGTGGTAGAGCAGTGGTTCTCATTCTCAAATACATTCATGTTGACAACCAAATTGACTGCTATTGGCCTGTGGACACCAATTTGTTTTTGTCTGTCAGTGGAATGAGGTTGGCATTTTTTTTTTACTCAACTTTGATGTCGGTCATTTGGTACTGTGGACACCCTTACCCTGGTCGATGATGACGGTGACAGTATGACCCCCACCCTCTTGACAGAAATACAATAGATTGTACAGATCTTGCCATGGTGACACCTGACAGACCTCTGACAGTGTGCTACAATAGCCTTCTTGTTTTTTTTTTTTATCTCTGAGAAGGCATATGGTGTCGACCTGTTATCTCACACACTATTTGTCACCATGTCACCCACACCTGTTGCTCAGGGACAAGTTGCTGGCTGTCTTGACCTATGACTGTTTTCCTAAATAAAATTTAATATTAATGTCATGTTGTCATTTTTAAGTTTGTGTTCACACATTTATGGAAATATGGTAATGTAAGATCATTTTGAACGACATAATACCCATCGTCTGCCAACAATATTGTGTGTTTAACATCAATACTAGATGAAGAAACTTGTAATGGTATGTTATGATGAAGACCTATCAGCAGAAACTCTGGTTTAAAAAAAAAAAAAACTTTTCTAATGGGCTTCTCATAGTAAATTCTTTAAAAAAGTTGAATATTTTAATGTCAAATGTACATGAATCAATATTGATTCCTTAACTTTGATTCAATATAAGATCAACACAAATGTAAATGTAATTAGCATTTAGATGATGGTTGAATCAATATCGATATAGTATCAGTTATGGTTGAAAACCTAACGTTAATTCAACGTGTAAGTCACCGACCACTTTCTGTATAATTTCAATGTCAGGCTTCAACATTGATTCAATATTTCTGCCTAACCATATTTCAACGTTGCTTCAATCATATTTTGCTATCTGGGTACTGTACCCAAACAAAGTCATATTCAGGTTGAATGTCATATAGCTACACAACCATTCAAAGAGGACATGACCATCTTATTTGAGCCTGATGTTAACCCTCAGTGGTCAGATAACCTTGAGTTCTTTGACAAATTGGCCAGTTAAAAAGGAGACTGTGCCACTGATGACATTAGGTGTCTCCAACCCCACAGACCATGACATTGTTCTTTCAGGTCGTACTGTGGTCGATACAGTCCAAACAATTACAGTAGTAATACCTGCTCATGTGTTTGAAGATGTTATCTCTTAAAAGAGTTTTAACTTTTGGATTGTATATTAAAAAACACAATAATAATAAAGTAAAAGTATGTTTTAGGTTTTAAGGATGCCAAAAGAAAGACATTTTGAAATAATGACAGAAGTTTAGATTTGAACAGTTAATTTAAGCAAACCAGTAATCTTCTGAAGCAACATTATTTGGGCAGATGAAACCAAAGTGAAGATGCTTGGCTTGAATGCACAGCCCACTGTTTTAATAAAGCCACACATCAAAACAAACACAAGACAACTGTTCACCACAATGGCAGTGGAAGGTTGATGATTTGGGTTTGTTCTCTGGCCATTCAGCATGTAAGCACTCAAACGACCACAAACAACTCTGTAAAGTACTCCAGAGTCAAATGGAAGGCCAAAACAGAAAAAAACAAGTTGTTTTGTTCCAGTCATGGTCCAGACCACAACCCAAAAATTAAACCTCAATGAAATGAAACAAATTTGTAAAAACAACTTGTAATGTATTATATTGTATAAAATGATGCAAAATCATTCATTACAGTATACAGATGGATATGAATTTGAAGCAGGTTGGATTTTATCGGGATATGAATTGGACCAGTTTGCAGTTATTATATGGTGCCCTGAAATGACCTTTGCTCTGAATTAGCACTATGTACATAAAATAAATGGAACAGTGAATCAGCTTCAAACTGCATTTATTCCTACATGAACATGGGGTTTGGAAAAGCAAATGCCTTGAGCAAAACGAACCGAGTCACCCCCCATGAGACTGAAACTCATTTCGCCCCCTGGTGGCATCAAAATCCTCCAGGACTTACCTGAATAAACAAACATTAATATTTGACACTGCTATTTGCCAATATTTTGTATAATTTAATAGATTTCCAGCTAAAATAATTTAAATTGTCATAGTAGCACAGATAAAATAGTTTATTTGTTCACATTGTTTTATACAAAAACCCTACAGGAGGCCAAGTGAATACATTGATCATAAAAAACCTACACACTGCACGTGCACACTGCATTTGCTGAGATTGAATCTTTAAATACAGCACTAAGTGGAAATATGCTTGCAGACCTGAGACAACATGAAAGCTGTTTGAGGCGAACCAACAAGATTAAAACATCTTCTGTATTGAAATATAAAGGATAAATAGCTGGACTAAGGCAAACAGAAATCTGTAAACATGTAAGCAACATCTGCTTCAAGTTCCATGAACATGATGGCAGTTACACTCAATGCAGAATGCATTAATTAAATAGCTTTACAGATTAAATTAGATGAACGTATTCAAACAAAAATTTGTTTTTAGGGGGCTAAATTATTTCATTAATCAGTCTGTAGTACAAGCGTTCAGTGTATTCCAGTTGATCAAACTCTGAATAAACACAAACATGCAACCAAAAGAGAAAAAATAATGTTTTTATGTAACGAATATGGAAGATGTACTTCAGCAGTATTCATTCACTTGTCAGAGTTACACTTTGGTCATCAAACATTTGAACCTGCAAGACGTCCTCCTCTTGATAATATTTGTTTCTTAAAGATTCCTTTTGCTCCAAAGCAGCTCAGGATGTTTAGTTCAAGATCGTCTACAAGTCAGTTCCTTGGATTCAGTTCATTTCTCAACCACGACAGAGACAACAAATTGTTTGTGGCTCCTGCAGCTTTTACAGTTTCAGCAGTTTAGAAGCTCCTGGCTTTCTAACAACCATCCTGTGTTTCCCCTGTTGATTCTTCCAAGTGTTGCTGTGACGTAGTGCGAGTCGTTCTGAGGCAGAATTACCCTTCAAGAGGCGGCCGCAGGGGAATGCAGCCGTCCATCTCCAGAGACTCGGGCCAGCCTTCATACTTGTTGCTGTTTTTACTGTTCTTCATACGCTAACAGGAACAAAAACAGGTGAACAGAACTGATGTTAATGGAAGACATTGATATCAAGCATTCATGACACAAAAGCAACTAAAACCAAATGCTTTCAACTATTAATTGAAATCTGGTCCAAACTATACTTGTAAATTACTTGCTTTACAATATTCTACAGCTACCCAACATATAAACTGGAGTTTTCGAAATAACAATTATTTTACAAATTATTAAGTGTAAAAAAATAAAAAATAAAAATAAATAAAAAAAACCCACAAAGCAACAAAAAAAATTGCTCAACTCTGTCCAACTTAGAAAACATTTATTCAGATTTACTTTAGAATGCTCAAAGTAAAGTTTTAGCTGAATAAAGTTTGTGCCAACTACTAAAGTTTATGGACAGAAGAAGCCCGTTTATGTTTATAACTATCGAATAATAATTTATTTATAAAATCCTTTAAAACAACCACAGCTGCAACCAAGTGCTATACATTTAAAATCAAGAGCGTTTAAACGCATAAAAATAAAACAGTTGTTAAAACATTAAGACCAATAAAAACAATAAAAACTGTGCAGAGCAAATTCAGTGTGTGCTAAAAGCCAGGAAGTAAAAATGTGTTTTTAAGAGTTTTAAAAATGGACAGTGAGGGGCTCGTCTGATGAGAAGAGGGAGATCGTTCCACAGTCTTGAAGCAGCAACAGAAAAATCTCTGTTCCCTTTGAGCCTCCGTTTGGACCTCGGCATCTCCAGGAGCAGCTGATCAGCTGATCTGACACCGAGCAGGAGAGTATGGGTGAAGCAGCTCAGAGAGGTAGGATGGAGCAAGACCATTTAAACTTTTAAAAACAATTAAAAGAATCTTAAAATGAACAGGCAGCTAGTGGAGTGAAGTCAGAGTGGGGGTGATGTGGAGTGAAGCCAGAGTGGGGGTGATGTGGAGTGAAGCCAGAGTGGGGGTGATGTGGAGTGAAGCCAGAGTGGAGGTGATGAGGAGTGAAGCCAGAGTGGGGGTGATGTGGAGTGAAGCCAGAGTGGGGGTGATGTGGAGTGAAGCCAGAGTGGAGGTGATGTGGAGTGAAGCCAGAGTGGGGGTGATGAGGAGTGAAGCCAGAGTGGGGGTGATGTGGAGTGAAGCCAGAGTGGGG